ACTGCAAACTGGTCTTAAAAACAAGCAGCCAAGTATCAACCTAAACATTTTTTCCTGTGAACAGTATCCTTAATATCCCATTCTCCTGTGAACAGTATCCTCATATCCTTAATATCCCATTCTCCTTTAAAAAGTATCCTTACTACCCTGTTCTCCTGTGAACAGCATTCTCACAACCCTATTCTCCTGTGAACTATATCCTCACTATCCTTATTCTTCTATGAACAGTATCCTGACTACCCACCATGCATTCCATGGGCTTCTTATTCTTTATAAATTACCTTTGCTTCCATATGCCCATCCTTGCTATGTCACTTCTCCATTATTCTTATAAACCTTCCTCTCTAACTCTTCTAGTCTAACAATGTTATTCATTTTTCAAAATTATTGCCTTACCTTTCAGGAAATAATAATCGTGTATAATAGATTTTCCTGCCAAGTGCATGTAATTACTGTTTCACTATGAGGCTTCCAGTGATTTCAGGAAATCACTGGTTTCAAGCACCGGGGATTTCACTAATCATCAAAGTTTACACACAGCACATTTATAAACCCCTGGAGTATGCATTGGAACCCACCCTACAGTGAAGAGTAAATTGCAGCAAATCATTACATTCAGTAAAAAGTAAAGAAAAAACATTGCACAGCCTGACCTATGGCTTACACTCCAGTCTCCTCTGCCCTAAAAGAGTTTCACAATTTACTGATTAACAATTACACTGATATATCATAAAATGTAAATTAAACCCAAATAAGTAAAATATAATCATATGGGTCACCACAACCCAGGATGGTAGCATTTCCATTCCTTTATTTGCTAGCTTTCAGCAAAAACTGACTACACTTAACCATTTTCTCTGTTTGTATCATTCATCTGGAACATCAATTAATCTAAATGGTGTAGGCAGACTTAACCAAACCTAATCGTCATCACAACTGCACATCTATGGAAATCTTTAAACATATCTACTAACATCAACCAGTATTTTTTTTTTTTTTTTTTTTTTTTGTTAATTTGTTTAAACATATATGATCCAGAAGGACTGATTACAAGAGAGTACATATCTGCTTAAAGTGAGTCTGTTTGTCTGTCTATCTTGGCTGTCTCTATACATGTCATTCTCCCTTACTTTTTCCCATCTTTTCAGTGCAAAGAAATCATAGTGGCATGACACTGCAAAAAATGATGTCTCATACACATATAAAACAGTATCTGTTTTGCTCAGAGAAAATTAAATCAATTGCATTTTGGTTGCTGCAGATAAAGCCTAATGTAACAGGTATATCTATACAAGAATTAGTAAACAAAAACAGGAAGAAATGGCCATATAAGAGCATTTTTGTAGTTTTTTCCAACAGATAATATTGTGGATTTAGCAATGTATATGGAACACACCTACATTTTGTCTTGATAAACCTTAACTACCAGTCTGAATTATGTAATATCCACTGTTCAGTGTGTGTCTGCATGGATGGAGGCAGAAGTTTCAGTCTGTGTTGATATCATTAACACTACAACCCATCAGAAGGTGTTTAAAAACTTGTAACTGTTTAAGACCATAAAAGTCTCTTCACCAGAACTTTATACATTATTTACAATATTAGTAAATCAATACACTATTTGTAAAAAAAGTATACTATTACTCTATATTAACCCCTTGGGGCAATTGTTGAGATACTGAAAAACTTCTGAGAAAGAACAACTATACTGAACTAAGATAAAAAAGAGGTCTTAATTAGCTACCATGATGTGAATACCAGAGAAGAATACCTCTTCATCAAAAGCTGTATTCCCATAGCCAAGTACTTATCACTGACCTCAAGGGGTTAAAGCAAAAATCACAAGTGTATTCACTCCATGCACAAAACTGTTTCCTCACTTCTTTTCTTAGCAACAATAAAACTTAGTAATACAGGCTACTTGAGAGACCTTATACGTGCAAGCAGAGGTGGCAATAAAGATGCTTGCTGGGCCATCCCTCAAAAATTACCTGCACTGTATATGCTATCATAATTGGCAGCAATCCCAGCGGCACACGGAGAATATTTAACAATGAAACAGATACAAAAATTTTCTCTGCTGTCAAAGTATGTGTTGCATCAACAAGAACATATGTTGTAAGGGATGCAAATACCACCTGTAATATCAGAACTAAATAAGACATAAACAAATATCTTAACAAAATACCACAGGTAAACATTCAGATGAACCCAAAGCAGTACCAATGGTATGAATGCACTCATAACTATGATGCCAACAAGAAGGAATTTCCTCTATAGACAGTTCATACCAAATTCCTGTAAGAAAATTACAGATGCACACTACTCCAGTATAATACATATCACCCATTAAGTAAGGAATACAGTTTCTGCATATATCCAGAAACCCAAAACTCCTGGAAAAAAAAATAACTCAATAACATAAAAAGGGAAATTAATCTGATTTCCTGGCATGGGAAATAGTTTTCGTTTCCTGAGTCAGGGCATACCGAAGGTGCAGCAACTAATTCTCATATGAACACACAAACATGCACTGACACACATGCATGCAAGCACTTCCATGTCCCTGTATAACCAATAATTTTGTTAAATTCCTACACCACCAACAATTCTACCAGGAAGACACAGGTCATCAGATGTACTGCTCAGTAGCCCATATCATATTTCCTTCAACTGATATCCATCACTGCAAACTGGTCTTAAAAACAAGCAGCCAAGTATCAACCTAAACATTTTTTCCTGTGAACAGTATCCTTAATATCCCATTCTCCTGTGAACAGTATCCTCACTACCTTGTTCTCCAGTGAACAGCATTCTCACAACCCCTATTCTCCTGTGAACTATATCCTCACTATCTTTATTCTTCTATGAACAGTATCCTGACTACCCACCATGCATTCCATGGGCTTCTTATTCTTTATAAATTACCTTTGCTTCCATATGCCCATCCTTGCTATGTCACTTCTCCATTATTCTTATAAACCTTCCTCTCTAACTCTTCTAGTCTAACAATGTTATTCATTTTTCAAAATTATTGCCTTACCTTTCAGGAAATAATAATCGTGTATAATAGATTTTCCTGCCAAGTGCATGTAATTACTGTTTCACTATGAGGCTTCCAGTGATTTCAGGAAATCACTGGTTTCAAGCACCGGGGATTTCACTAATCATCAAAGTTTACACACAGCACATTTATAAACCCCTGGAGTATGCATTGGAACCCACCCTACAGTGAAGAGTAAATTGCAGCAAATCATTACATTCAGTAAAAAGTAAAGAAGAAAAAACATTGCACAGCCTGACCTATGGCTTACACTCCAGTCTCCTCTGCCATAAAAGAGTTTCACGATTTACTGATTAACAATTACACTGATATATCATAAAATGTAAATTAAACTCAAATAAGTAAAATGTAATCATATGGGTCACCACAACCCAGGACGGTAGCATTTCCATTCCTTTATTTGCTAGCTTTCAGCAAAAACTGACTACACTTAACCATTTTCTCTGTTTGTATCATTCATCTGGAACGACATCAATTAATCTAAATGGTGTAGGCAGACTTAACCAAACCTAATCGTCATCACAACTGCACATCTATGGAAATCTTTAAACATACCTACTAACATCAACCAGTATTTTTTTTTTTTTTTTTTTTTGGGGGGGTGGGGTAAAATTTCATAGAATTGGGGGGGGAGGGGGTATGAAAACCCATATGAAGCAGTAATTACACAAAACAAATGTTTTGGGGCTTGCATGAAATTACTGATTATTCAAATTCAATGCTAAACAAACAAATACTTACAAACACGCACATTCGTATTCACACGCACTTTTACACACGCAGACACATATCAAAAAAAAAAATAATAATAATAATAATAATGAATAAATAAATAAAAAATATTAATACATAGAATATGAAAACCTTTGTATGTATCTGCAGTCTTTTCCTGCAAAATGCTATGATCACTGCATCTGTAAAACTGTTGTATTTGCAACAGATCATTAATCAAAGCTTCATCTGTAAGGAAAGTAAAAGGTTTTGTATTTCCCCAATCATACACTTATTTTTTTAAAGAACAATCAAGCGAGTGTATAAGTATGAATGTAAGAATATGTGAGTGTATGAATCTGGAGTTATGCTATTATTACAGTATGAGGACAGATGTAACCATGGGTAAGTTAAATATGTGTTTGAATTGAAGTGGAAGTGTGCACATGCATATATGTGACTGAATATGTGTATATTTATGTGTATGCATGTAAAAGTAAGATCAACAAAGCCTATAAAATTAATTTTCTCCACACACACAAAAGTCAAAATCAAAACAAGGAAGTAACACAACAAACATCCATACACATATAAATACATATATGAAAGCACTCCATTAAGATACTGAAATCACATGAAACACATACTCCTCGAACTTAGCACAATACCCCCACAAAAATACAGGATATAAGAACAGGATGCAAACGTCAGCCACAAAAAGTCCTGTAACTGGGAAAGTAAAATAAATATATAAGAAGACTGCATAAAATGTCTTCGGTATAAGCACATCTTTGGGATAATACCTGCACAGATGCAACTATAAGGAAAGGTAACATGGCCATGGGCATGCGCAAAATGTTCAAGAGGGTGAGAGACGTGAAAATCTTGTCGGCAGTTAGGATGTGCGTTGGGTCAGTCATGACATAGGTCGTGAACATTACAAATGTTACCTGGAAGTGGGGTTGAGAATTATGCAAAGACAATAGCGATGAGAAATTAACTTTCTTCAGAGAAAGTTAAAAGTACTCTTGTTGGTAGAAATATATATCATAAACTGTATACTATATCTACTCTGTTTAGATAGATCTTCTTTTCTGGAAAGAAAATCTAATATCTAATTCTAATCTAATCTCTATTATGATCTAATCTATTTTAAAGAAAAAGGAAAATAAAATAATAATATATAGGAAATAAGGAAGTAAAGAATATAAGACCATAACAATACTATCAAAAATATTAATAATGACAATAATATTACAGTAATAATGAGAATAATAAAAACAATGATAGAAATATATAATCATTAATGAACCTAAAGCTATATATGTAATACATGTGCAATTTGTAATAACTACTGAAAAACAAGGAGGGGGAATTTTTCTTTTACCCATTCTCTTCTCTTGTCTGATTTCCTCTAATGAAACTTTACTTGTGTTTAAAAGCAGTATATAATCACTTTTTATCTAATGTCAGCATAAAGTACTGCAGTAATCTAAACACCTAAAATAAACCAAATTATTCAACAGTGTTAATATCCTCATGATAAACATTGTCACTTATATCAGTGATTAAGCTGACATTCATAGATATTTCCCAAAATATAAAGTAAACAGATTAAACACCTCAATGTCAATATCTGTACTGTACTATAGACTAGTTAAATAACAAATCTTTTACATCCAACACCTACCAGGAAAGGCGTGCAGGTCCAAATGAAGGAAGTACCTGCATTGAGGTATGCCGATTTCTTCAGCACTTTAATCTCCAAGTTGCGAACTCCCAGGACCTGCTCCTCAAAGGAGGGTTCCCATGCATACAACTTCAAAACCTGAAACAAGATACATTCTATCATACTCTCATTGATGAGGTAAGAAATTTTCTAAGATAATGAAATAGCTAAAACTGAGCATCTACTAAAACCATGAATCTCGCACCTCACTTAAATGACATGGTGCAGATATCTCTGTAGCAATCATTACAAAATGGGGAAAAAAATATATGATTTTAAACAAACAAGCAATATTTCATACAAACCTTAATGCCATTCAAGATCTCATTCATGAGCTTCACTCGGTGATCCTTGTTCTTCATCTGACTGATCTGGAACTGCTTGGTCTTATTAGCAATAAAACCATTCACAGGAATCAACACTATCATAACAGCCAGACCAGCAAGTACAGATGGTCCTAAAGGAGATAAAGTGCAGTTATTCTCACCATTCCATTCTGCTAAATCTTTAATACAATACATCTATGATATCAGCAATTATACTACCATCACAACTACAAATAATATCAGCTAAGAAGCCAAATGCATGTTAAGCATCTAGTAATAGTGAAATGATGAAATGTTTATATTCATTTTCAACCTCTCCACTTCCTAAACAAAAGAATTGGGAGTCCTTAAATTATTTGGCAATGTTAGAAAACAACACATTCAGTCTGTTTTTTTCTATATCACCCAAAATCTAAGTCCTTGATTGATAAATAGTGTCCTTGATTAATAAATAGTATGCCCTTCCTTCCTATCTTAATGAATGCTATATTCACTTACCTAGAAGACCCCAGAGGAAATAAAGTGCCAAAGCAATTTGCAGTGGTGCAGACCACAGCATGTTGATGTATGAAGTTAGATCCATGAATCGCTGGGCATCAACGGACATCAAATTGACAATCTCTCCAACAGTAGACTCCTTTCTTGCAGAGCTGGAAATGCGTAGGGCCTGAAATGAATCATACATATTAGCTTTACAAAATTAAACTCCAATGTTAATGTGTGATTTTAATCTAGATATAAATAGATTTCTTTATACTTCTACATTCTTCCTTTACCTTTCTGTATACTGCAGAGATTACACCTGTTCTGATTCTTAAACCAGCCAAGAACATTTTCATAAAATACTGTCCAAGCACAAGAGATTGGATCTGTGCACACACAATCATGAGTACAGCATACATGTACCCTTTCCATACTGGTTCATCTTCAGATTCGGTGAAGGTGATCAAGGCACTGAAAATGAAAGTGAAAATAAAAATGGGGGCATATCCAGTGAAAATCTATTTAGTCAATCAAAACCAGGAATAATTATCTTAATTAACTGGTGCTAAGTCCACGTACTGTCCACTGATTTTTTCTCTGGTTAGTCTTGTTTACATTTAGATGTCTTCCAGAGTGTTTAATCACAATGGATTCAGCTACCTGACCACTTTTCAGAGAAAAAAATCCTAATACTATCACTATGATATAGTCATTATTATTACTATTGATAGCATCATGTTATCAACCATGATGATGCTGATCCAGTTTTACATTTCTTTTACATTATCAGAATTGACAAAACTCTGCAGTAACTAACCTGAGGATTTGTGGGCTTACAAACTGCAAACAGTCATGGAATAACTTCAGTGATGCTCCAAAAAGGAATGTAGGACCAAAGGTGCGTATCATAGTGGGAAGGATGGAAACGTATTCCTTCTTGTCTTTTCCTACTCCTTTCAACTCCACCTCAGTAGAGTTGTTGGTAGATGCCCATGCCTGTCTCTCAGCTTTCCTGTACCAAATCAGATTTATTTTTCAATTCCACAACAATGTTTCCACACTAATATCATCTCCATGTCCTGTATCATGAATCACATGTTTCCACACTAATATCATCTCCATGTCCTGTATCATGAATCACAAAGGGTTTATACGAATAAAGGGCAATGGCATATAATTATCTATATTACTAAAGAGAAACTGTCCAATATCCATTAAATTTCATTATAAAATAGCTAGTATGAACCATATGAACAACATTCCTTACTTTTCTTTTTTTGCAACCGACTTCCTCCAGTTCTTGTTCCACCTCTTCACAATGGTGCGAGATGCATTTTCATAGGTGAGACTCCAAAGGTCTTTCAACTCTAGAGGTCTTCTGTAGCCTTTCCAAATCAAGGAGTCCATCCAGGCAAACAAGATTCGGTTGAAAAAAGAGGATCCAACTTCTGGACAAGGTTTCTGCATTGCGAAAAAAAACATATTTGATCATGAAAAGCCATCTTTTACACCCTAGTAATATCATACAATTTCTACAAAGAAAACAGTTAATATCTCTATATTTACAAATGTAAGATAAGACCACCCTGTCAAAAGAAAATGTAATAATGCCGAATAATAGAAGCATTTTTAGATAACCCTACAAAGGTATTCGCCCACCCCCACACCATTCCTTACCTCGCCTCTATCGAAATCCACATACTCAGGTGTCGCATCCCCAAAGCAATTGAGGACCAACATTACAACCGTAAGTGGGAAGTACACCATGTAAGTCACAAAGCGGAATGTATTAACATCGTCTTTAGTTTCCTGGAAAAAGAAAAATATAATCATAAAGCATACTAGTATCTGGTAATCTAGAAAGACTCTATAGAAGGACAAAGGGTGAGAGAACTGAAATGAATCATTTACTTAGAAGGTAGGTTAACTATCCATTTTTTTTATGAAAACCACATTCTATTTATTCACAGGTCAGTGAAGTGTTACAAAAATAAAAGCAGTATTGATGAGAATGATAAACCTTCATCTTCACTGACAAAAAAATGTCACAAGACACACAAGTAATTTTACTGATGTTACTTTATGGGGAAGCAATAAACACAGGGTTTTAGTTATCAGCATCCTTAAATCAAATAAAATAATCAAAAATTATTAAAGTAAGCAGAAAATATGCCATTTGCAATGCTTATCATCAGTTTTCCTTTTTCTGTCAATCCCCAGCCTCAAACATCATACTTATTTGATAATTTAAAAAATACCACTTTCAATCAATCAGTCAAATTGATACACAGGTTACACATACTCACCTCACTTAAGATATTAAGGAAGTATGTGCGGTACTCTGGAATCCCACATATAACCAGAAGTAGCCAGAACATGAAGATTACGCCTGAGCTTTGTATTCCTCGTTTCTTCTCCATCATGATAAGAACCACTTGAAGTAGCTGTAGGTTTGTATCAATTATACCATTAGAGTCAAAGATAGTTGTAAGAAAACACATTCCTTTGCCAAGAAAGGCAGCAACACCGCAGGTTAATTTCTCACAACTTATTATTACCATTTCAGATATATCAGATATATCCTGCTATGCATTCATCAACTTTTAAAAACCTATGTTTTTTTCTTCATATTCAGTATCAATTGCACTTCATTATATAAGTTGAGAACTTACAATTGTAAAGAAAATTATTGCTGGAGCTGCATAGTCCACACCATAAACTTCCACTTCATTTGCATTACTATAAACGGCATGGAAAAAATCTACGCACTGAACGGTCATTAAGAGGGTTGACCCAATCTGTAAATGAAAATATAGAGTTAAAAAATGCAATTGTTCACATTACCACAAAAATATATATATGCCAGGGATATAACAAGACAAAAAATAAATAAATAAAATAAAATAAATAAATAAATAAATAAAATAAAATCATTAGCAACAAAAAATGGCAACACAATGTAAAAACAAATATAACAAAAAAAAAAAACACCAGTACAAATAATGTAAAAATGGATATACAAACCAGTTTACAAATATTGACCCATGACCAAGGGACAAGCCTATCTGGGCTGCTTTTTATATAGAAGATTTCCATGGGAGTAAAGACCCATAGGAAGAAACAGGGCACCCACACCAACACTGTGCGCTCGAAACATGGTGTGAAGTCAGGGTTGTCTGTGTACCATGTGACATTGGCATCCTGAAAGACAAAATAAAAAAGATTATAAACCACATATGCTAGAACATGTGAGAAGACTTTTTGTGTATCTTGAAGGTATAGTATGCAGATTTATTGGACAAAAATAATATAACAAACAAGCCATCTTCTTGGTAAATCATGGAAACAAAGATTTCCCTGACATATTGAAAAATATAAACATGGGCTCATGATATAGAAATATCCTCAACACTATTGGTGAATACTTGGCCCTCAAATGATACTCAACACAAGCCTGTATGCACTGTATATGTGTAGCGCACATAGGTAGCATCTTTAAAAACATTTAAAATAGCACGCTTTCACTTACAGTTATATTTACCCTTACACATACATACATACATACATACATACATACATACATACATACACACACACACTCTCACACACATTCCTACACTCTCACACTCCCTCATACACTTTTTCACATGCTCATACACTCTCACTCTCACTCTCTCATACACTCTCACTCTCACTCTCTCATACACTCTCACTCTCACTCTCTCATACACTCTCACTCTCACTCTCTCATACACTCTCACTCTCACTCTCTCATACACTCTCACTCTCACTCTCTCATACACTCTCACTCTCACTCTCTCATACACTCTCACTCTCACTCTCTCATACACTCTCACTCTCACTCTCTCATACACTCTCACTCTCACTCTCTCATACACTCTCACTCTCACTCTCTCATACACTCTCACTCTCACTCTCTCATACACTCTCACTCTCACTCTCTCATACACTCTCACTCTCACTCTCTCATACACTCTCACTCTCACTCTCTCATACACTCTCACTCTCACTCTCTCATACACTCTCACTCTCACTCTCTCATACACTCTCACTCTCACTCTCTCATACACTCTCACTCTCACTCTCTCATACACTCTCACTCTCACTCTCTCATACACTCTCACTCTCACTCTCTCATACACTCTCACTCTCACTCTCTCATACACTCTCACTCTCACTCTCTCATACACTCTCACTCTCACTCTCTCATACACTCTCACTCTCACTCTCTCATACACTCTCACTCTCACTCTCTCATACACTCTCACTCTCACTCTCTCATACACTCTCACTCTCACTCTCTCATACACTCTCACTCTCACTCTCTCATACACTCTCACTCTCACTCTCTCATACACTCTCATACACTCTCACTCTCTCATACACTCTCACTCTCACTCTCTCATACACTCTCACTCTCACTCTCTCATACACTCTCACTCTCACTCTCTCATACACTCTCACTCTCACTCTCTCATACACTCTCACTCTCACTCTGTCATACACTCTCATACACTCTCACTCTCTCATACAATCTCATACACTCTCATACACTCTCATACACTCTCTCATACAATCACAGAAACTTTCACTTCCTTCTATGAGATTCCATTAGCTTTAAAACATCACCCACACAATTGCATGAATTAAGAAAAAGTGAAAAAATTAAAATAAAATAATAAATCAAGATCTGATTATCTATAATATAATAACCATCCAAACTGTACACCAATCTCAAAAATACCAAACAATTAATACATAAGATAAATGAGAATGACATCATATCACTGTAAGATAACACAGACAAAACCGAGATATGGGCAGATAAGTGGATGATGAAACACTAAACCAACAGGTAAAAACATGAGACTCTCAAGAAACAATGAAGAAAATGCAAATTAAATTCAGAATGCATGAGGAGTATATTGCTTTTCAACTAATCTGAAAGTTCATAGTCTGTAATCGTAAGTCTGCACAATTAAGAAAAAGAATCTTTTTATAAGCCTTTATATTACAAAACACATGCAAGGATCAATGCCTAAGTGGACAGAATACATTTCCTTGACTTTACTGAAAGCAGAAACTATATATAATGAAAGAGAGAGAAGCAATTTTAAAATGCTATGTGTAACATTAACAAATAATCATCATATTCCTGAAAAGTACAAGATTCTAAACCTAGGATCAAAGCCATTTCTAAAGTTCATATTTCTCTTACACTCTCTCTGAAAATTAGGAAATTCAATCTTGCTTTTCATACCTCTAAAGAAAAAAAATGCAAAGATAATACAGGTTCTACTAAAAAAAAAAATGAATAAAAAAAAAAAAAAAATGAAAACTAATGCTAAAATTCTACAAAATACACTTTGCCCTTTTACAGCAGGTAGAGATATCATTTCAAACAGCAGGACCTACTTCTGAAACTGTTATATGTGAACTTCAATGTTTCTGTATGCTTACTATATGTACAGAAAAAAACTGTTTTATTACAAGTGGACCAATCACAATCATTCTCAATTTGTCTAAAATTAAAATGTCTAAGATTAAGATTTCTTTTAGCCTTGAAGAGCAATTACCTGCTTCAATCAGGAAATGATAGGTTCCCAAAATGATAAGAGCAAAAACATCCAATTCAAGAGCTAGCAGTCACAAGAACCATATAGCATATCAAAATATTATACCTACTATCTGTAAACGAATCCAATAATTTACAAGCCAAGATCATAAACAAATTCAGTCAGTTTAAATAGCAATAAATGATGTGGTTGAAGTCAAACCCTGTCTGAATTAGTTAATGATATAAGAGAACAGTTTAAGCTCATAGGATACAGAAAAACAAGTAGCACTGGTAAACTAATTTCCGTAACACAATAAGGGAAGCGGCTCAAATCATAAGTTTCTGGTGTTGCTACATAGCAGAATAGTTATTCTGAAAGTAGGAAGTAAAGATAGAAATGCTTCAAAAGTATCTAAAATGGTTAGAAATGAGCCTTCATATATAAAGCACTTGGATTTCTCAGGAATGGTAGTTTCTGTTTTGTGGGGCAAATACAGTCTTAATGGCTCCTGGAGTTAAACAGCCTGTTCAGCAAAGCATTTAATTCAAAAGCATTTTACCAGATATCTTTAAGATTCAAGCCTAATGAGAATCTGTTTTTCTCCCAGAAGATCAAAATATACTGGATAAAGCATAGACTAGCTAGTAATACTGAAATCATTACAAGATTTACAAAATGTATGGTATCAGCCATGACGTTCTAAAGACAATAAAGTTGGCAAATACAGGAAAAAAGAAATCAGACTACTTTTTCATCCAACAGATACTAAAAGGAAGCAACCCAAAATATATGCCATAGAAAATTCCATAGAAGGTTGAAACAAAGATTACAATGAATATGAAGAGAAAAATCAATTAACAAATTACTAATGTTCTCTGGGATGATATCAAATCATCTTTAAATTACTTGCAACTTGAAATATTCTAAAACGATTAATATAAAAAAAACTGTGGATTAGGCAATGCAGCTATAATGAATGAAACATTGAATACATAAAAAAAAAACTGTGGATTAGGCAATGCAGCTATAATGAATGAAACATTGAATACAGTCTAATACAAATATTGTAATCTCATCATTCATAATAACTTAAGTAGTCTAATACAATGTAAGCCTACAAAGTAAATTCTACAAAATGTAAAAATCCAAATTATGATTTACGACCACAAAGAGTACAAGATTTGTCCACAGAACAATCAAAAGTCATTCACAGACTACTTTTCCACAGAACTACATCTGAAACTGCTTCCATCTAATGCACAAAATGACTAACCAAACATTCCATCACTAAACTACTTCTGTGATGTATTGAAGGAACATCTAGATTACCACTGGGTCAAGACAGCTTATGATCCACAACCACAAGTTTCATGCATCTAAGGAACACTAAGTCATGTCCTGTTCTGCATTAGTTAAGTACTATACTAAATATGCTATGATATAAGAATAAAAGAACTAGAAACATAGGTAACTGGGTAATGTTTTTTTTCAACATAGCAAAGTGTTAAAAGGTCAGGATAATTATCCAGGATTGTCTGATATTCTGCCCTATATGGGTTTGCATCCCTCCTGATTTTCATGCAGATTTTATGCTCTTATATCATGTTATAGGAGTTTTGAAGCATACCTCAGTAAATTACAAGATTTTAGCTGTAGGACATGATGCCACAAGTGCTTTATAATAATCTGTAGGAGCCACTGCAACAGCCAGGACAATTGTTCATTCTGGATATACTGTGGTATATGCAAATTACTCTTGACTGCTTTCACTTTATCATAGAAGCTTTTTCAAGCATATCATGGAAGCTGCATCAGTTTTGCTGCAAAACACAACAAAACTGAATACAATAACCACTTTAACAACTAGGACAATCATCCACTAAAATGAACCTGTGAGGCAAACAAAGTCGTATGCACATACACATAGACAAATATATAAGTAGAAGTACCCGCTCATGCACTCTCATCCACAAACTTGCGCTTGAATCTTTGCATTACAACTTCCACAAAAGATGTACCATGTAATAATATAATGTAATATACTGATTTACAAATCTCAGTATTTCAGCTCATGGTCTGAATCCTCATTCCTGGTGAAGAGAACTAGATGGATGACAACCCATATCATCTTGTTCCTGCCACTCACGTTCACCTTAAAGGCCAATTGCTGTAGCGATTACAGGAATTATTACATTCCTTTTGCTGTTACATTTCTGGGAGTCTTTGTGGCATACTCAGAAAATAACATGAATATTTGAGCACAAAAAAGGTTCAACTGGTTAATTAACATTAAAGTGCCAGGAAGGCCTACAGTTCTCTCTTGCCAAAAAATATACTACCTGTCCGATAAGAGTCTCTGGGACTATCCTTTTTATGTAAATTGACACCCTGTCTTGAACTGAGCTTAAAAAAATGAACTTGGTAATTTTACCTATCTCTCCTACACCCCTGCATTCATGGGAAAAATTAGCAGAGGGCCATGGTGATAGGAGCTTGCCGCCATGAGAATTTCAGCTGAAGGCTGAGTTGACTGTAATGACTCACCATGAGTATATAAAGGAGTGTGATTAGACTCAGTGGGCATTCAGGAAAAGACTTTTGCATTATTTCCATCCATAAATAAGTGTAGAATATACCTTCCATGAGCCATCACTGGAAGAGTGCCTGCCCTTGAGGGGCACTATTTCCATGCTCAGGATCCTATTCCTGCCCTCCATGACTGGCAGTGTACAACATATTACAGAAAACAGAATATTACAAAAAAATAATAAATTACAGAAATAACAAAATGCAACTTGTAATTCTTAATACATCAAGTTATGGACTACCTAGAGAGATGATATAGATCTGTGCAAGGAAAACACTATTACTGTATGGTTAAATCAAATAAAAAGACAAGTATAGACATTAGAAAATGGCAAAAAGGCTAAAAACATTTATGAGGAAAATGAGAAAATAACATTGCAAATGGGAGGCATGGAGTTTGTCACCACACAAGTGTTCATGTGTCCCATGCCTACAAGCCACATACCCATCAGAGTAAGCCTAATGCCTGTAATTAGGGTTTACATGCTGGCATTATAGCACCAAAATCCAAAGGGCTGATAGACATTATTGACTGACGTGTGAGTGATTGGCTTAGAAATGCGTTTTTTTTGAGAGTTTGTGTAATGTGCCTCTCTACCAATAACCATGGTCTTGTCAAAAGTCTGCAAATCACATAACATATTTAAGAATAAGATATTGACTTTCCTTAGGCCTTCAAAGGTGTGAAATTGTGCAGGAAACTGGTGTTAATCCTCCCACAGTGTGGCGATTCAAAGAGGGAATAGGGGAATGGATGCACCCTCTCTAAGTAGGGAGTTTAGACAGACTCACAAGTTCAATACTCCCTCCCTTGGGATGGGAAGTACAAACAAATCCTATCCTTACTGCAAGAGAGTTAAGGGAAGATATCCCTTCTTGGTAAGAGAAGCCCCTAGCCTGTGAAGGTACTTACCTCCCCTTTTGTCCTTAACCAGCCACAAAGTGCAATGAATAATATCAGTTTGCCACACAATTTCACATCTCTGAAGCCCCAAGCAGACGTATTCCCTCACTCTTACTATGTTATAATACAATACATAGTAGGTCCAAAAAAGGTTACTGACATCAATTCATCACCGTTATCAAAACACTACCCTAACCCCTTTGCTCCATCTGAGTGTAGAGGAGATGCAAAAAATTCAAAGTAATAAACTTCTCTTGGTTGATATAATCAGCTGAGATAAAGACAGGTAGCGTATGTAACCAAGGTTTACTGACCACTGATAGTCAAAAACAGAGAGACAAGGGCATCAGTTGAAACTTAGATCCATATACTTTGACCAGTAATTTACAGTTACTTTGTTCTCATTGGGTTAAGGTACCCAAGTACTGATCTGGTGTTTGGGAGTTCAAGCCTCTCTGGTGCCGCAAGTGATTAGGACACCAACTATTTCCAGCGAACAGGGGGAGGTAGCAATCTACTTGTAGGTCCAGGCTATGCATTATCCAATGTCTGCACATTTTCGAGCTACCTATTTATCATTACTTTGTGTAGGTTACTCTTCACATCTGATAATGCTGTTTATGGGTTCTTTGTGACAGTTACATAAGTTTTCATTATTACTATGTGGTATTTTTCTGAAAAATCATCAAGGTACATCACTGTGGTTAAATCAGAAAGTCCTTCCGATAATCTAAAACTTTTTACCCAAAATGACCAAAATCTATTAGATATAAAATATGAAATTTGCATAAGCTAAAAATCAAGCTAAAACTGATTATCAGTCCATGTGTCTACAAATCAAATAATACTGTGGCCTCCATCATGCCCCACTGACTCTCAGCATACATACTCTAGCAAGATAGTGTTTTCAGACCTCCCCTGGCAAGTTATCATGAAATAGCAAACCCAACAAATCCTCTACCTTACCAGAATATATGCATGGGAAAGTTGATGGCCTTTACCAATAAATAGAAATAAAGACCATATTTAATGCAGCCCAATTATGGATTATTTCCCTTCCACTAAATAAATAATATGGATATACAACCTCTGTATGGAAATGGCAATATCACCAGGTGTCTAGTTCTTTGGTAATTGTACTGAAAAGGAACACAGCCTCGACATTCTATTTTGAACATTTCAGCCTATTTCCCCTTTCTCCCGAAGCTCATTTTATTGTAATATCACCACAAAATCTGTTGTGTCTGAATTTTGTTAATCTATTGATTAAAATTTTATAAGTTACTCTTTTAGAAATAATTCTTATTTATACAAAATATAGCAGTTTACAGTTTTGTATTTCACACTACCGTTTAACCTTACAATCATTATTTTTTGTTCTAGTTATTCACAACATGATATGCATGAATCTGTTTTTTTCTTTTTTTGCAAGGTAAACAACAAGTTCTGAAAAATAGTGAAAGTATTGGTAATTGTTTACAAAATAACTACACCTCTCTGAGCCTAAATCCCTATTACCAAAATCCTTCATAGCACAGGGGCTTTGTCACTGATGGACGCCTGCACCCTAATCACAATATATTTTCTTGATATCTGATGCTTGTCTCGCCATTGGAGATTAATTTAAGATTGGCACTGTCACTAGATTCCACCTATCTTAGTGTGACCATTATGAAAAAATATTACATGTTGCACAACTTTGCTATCAACTTGTGAATGAAATCTTTACAGTACAGAAGCAATCCCGACACTAAAAAAATTAATTCAACAATCTAAGTTGCCATGACTGGGTGTTACTACCCAAGGAGAGGGTTGATGGAGAGCTCTACCCCCCCCCAACATCCCCTGAGAAACATTGTCTTGACATCATTATGCAAGGGAAGATAGGGCCGAAACTCGGAAGCATCCTAGAGGACTTGGGCAGTGAGGAGTGCTTTCTATGAAGTTTTTCCTTTATTTGTGGCATTACCGTTCCTGTCAACATTTTGTCTACAAAAAATGTCATCTTCAATTTGCCCCAACTTAGTGCATCCATACAACAAAAATTAATCATGAAATGCTGTTTGAAGTGTAATAAATTTTGTCACTCTGTCCATTACAGGCAAAAGGATAGGTCAAGTTTGAACAAGCCAGCATTTACAAATAAAATAAAACAGTCAAAGTAGACTCCATAACTCTCACCACCTCACTATAATTACAATGAACCCCGCAAAGTTCTTCGGACGTTATATATCTTTTGCATCAGTTTGGATCGCGTGAAAATGAAGCTGATATTACGACCTCTTAGGGATCCTCCAGTTTTAATTATAAAGATAGTTTGTAGGTGAAAGACATGCAATACGTTTTTTACAAGCTTTTCGTAGGTCTTTGAACCGGTAGGACCCATGTGATCCACTAATAACTACACAGAAACAGTTCATATCCATAGAATTTTATCTGGAAATGCACAATTTTATGTGTGACTGATAATCAGAGAAACACCTCTACCTCTGAAAAATGAAAAATATATGATTTTGAGGAAAAAAACGGAAACAAACACGAGCTTTGTTTGTTCACTCTACATACAACCTGTTACTTTTGGAAAACTTTGAATTCTTCACCAACTTGGTTACAAAACACCACACAAACTTTCTTCTCACAAATGAATCCCACTCCTAACGCGTTACTTTTCTCCTCCTCTACATGAAACGTACCCAGAATTTAGACCCGCAAAAGTCATCCAGTGCAACTCCCTCTTCCATTTTCCAGCACGTTAAATCCACACGTCTACACTCTCCGCCAGCTGCCCCGCGACTGCCCCGGCCCTCAGTCCAACGGTGACGTCGTCCAGCCTTCCAACAACGTCATCGTGATGTCACAAATGAAGCTCCGCCCACCGGTCTGGAACACGTGAAGGTCCGCCGTATTTGATTTTCCTAAATTTTGATTGAAAGAGTTGTTGTTGTTGTTGTTGTTCCAAGCAAGCGCTAGGTAATCTGTTTATTCCGAGACGATTGATACATGCGAGAATTCTATTAAATATTTACTTAATCTATATACTTGGTATACAGACTAAAATATAAGTTATTTGAGGGAAATAGATAACTTATATCTTGTCACAACATCTGCTCCCCCATATGGCAAAGTCTAATACTTACCTTGATTTCAACCGCCCACCATTTTGAAATACATACATGACTGCTATAGCTATTGACAAATTATATTTTTTTTCACATTGGTTGTTGAATTTTTATTTTGATAGTTTGTGTGTGTGTGTGTGTGTATGTGTATGTGTGTGTGTTTGCGTGTGTGTGTGTGTGTGTGTATGTATGTAGTGTGTGTGTGTGTGTGTGTGTGTGTGTGTGTGTGTGTGTGTGTGTGTGTGTGTGTGTGTGTGTGTGTGTGTGTGTGTGTGTGTGTGTGTGTGTGTGTGTGTGTGTGCGTGTATGTGTGTATGTGTGTGTGCCTTTCTCCTGATTTAATAGGCAAAGCAAAGAATGTTAGCTACATTTTCGCGCTTGCCTGTTCATGCGTAAATACTGAAATATAGAAAGGCAGGCATACCTAAAAACGTCTCGGTAGACTGACAAGTGAATACGTATATAACTAAAGGCAGACATATGGGTAGGCAGCTGGATAATCCAGATTATAAATGCGTGCGTATTTGCGGGTATGCGTGCATGCTTTCACAACAGAATATGTTTTTGTTGGTAGTTTTGTTGTTATTTACTTATAAGCAGGTGTTCGAATAGTAATCGTAATCTCGAATTTACACAGAAATGTCCTCTCTCGCTTAGAAAAATGTATAGACATTATTCAACTCTGCAGAAGTCTTACTGCGAAAACCATCAAACAAATGGCATTCGTCCGTTATACAACCATCCCCGGAAGTGGGCTGACTTCCATATGCTATAAATATAACAGACTCTTGTACCCAGGCAGGCTCATGAATATTCAAGGCTTTGTTTCACCCAATAAAAACTTTTGATTTTATTCCATCAGTATTACATACATGTACTGTACGGTGGAAGTTGTGATGAGAAGGCCTGTGATACGATGATGATGATGACCTGGAACAAGGAAAAAAATATATACGTGGGGATGCTACAATGTCTGGGAAAATGTTATTATTGATCTAATCATAAAGTTTTGTGTTCTAGCATTGTACATTTTATATTACAAATAATCAGGAATCATTCAAGTCATAAAATCTACTCTAAGACCATTATTTCTTTCTTTTTTTTGTACAAGGAAGAAATACTATGATGCGATAAGACACATGCATAGGGTAAATCGTGAAATAAAATCATGACGTCACAAGATCGGTGACGCAATCGAACTTTGGAACGTAAACATAAACAATGGCTATACAACTTTTAATTCTCTCGGTTATTTCATAAACACTACGTTTTCTTCTTTTGGTGTACAGAATCTATACATATCATGTATACAGAACATTACTGTTGCTGTTAAATTATCTTTTTATCACTCTTTCTAAAACAAATCGTAAAGTTCAAAGCATAGTTGTTCATTGCAAAGATGTATAGGTGCAGATTACAAACATGGACAAGCAGCAGAAGAAAGGCTCTTTGCTTGAAATCGATGATAATATCATAAGGAAACAACTACTTTTAGAGGT